AACTTGAGTACGCGGAGTATCTGGGGAGCTGGAAGATGAGAACTGGCGGCTTTCTAGTACAACTTTAGTACGCGGAGTATCTGGGGAGCTGGAAGATGAGAACTGGCGACTTTGTAGTACAACTTTAGTACGCGGAGCAAGCTGTGGAGCTGGAAGCTGAGAACTGACGACTTTGTAGTACAACTTGAGTACGCGGATGAGTCATCTCTCGCGGCTGAGTCATCTCTCGCGGCTGCTCTGGCACCCCTGCAGCTGAGTCATGTCTCCCGACCACCCGGCTCTCTTGAGAGGTTGACAAAGTTTAGCTACTTTGCTTACTCATAAGTGGCTGCCACAAAAGAGTCATCGTGACGTTAGTATGTGTGTACTTCACCTTCATGACAAACGATGTTCGCTTGGAATACACGAGTCGCTTGTCATGATCTTGACGTCGTTTACTCTCAGGTCGCCCTGTTCGTGGAAACTTCAGTGTGAAATGTGCGTTCTTCAGTTCTAGTTGAACGTCTTCAGCGTTGTACTTGCGCGACTAAGGTTGACGTTGCATTGCCGTTGCATCGACGCATCTACGTCTACACCCCTCACCTCTCTACATTTACATCTTCACACGCTCACATCCGCAGATCTACCTCTCCACCTCACCACACCCACACATCTGCACATCTATATCACATCTGTACATCCACACTGTCGCTCCTTCACATCTGTCCTGTCTTTCTTTTTTCTACATATCTTTTCTCTCGTCTCTGTGCATTTACATCTTCGCACGCTCACATCCACAGATCTACCTCTCCACCTCCATACATCTACAGATCTATATCGCACCTGCACATCACACTGTCACTCCTTCACATCCACCCTCTCTTTCTCTCTTTCTATACATCTTTTCGACAGTGCTGGACAATTACATGTCTCGCTCTCGGGCCAACCGTCGTCTAGTTCCTGTGTCCTTTCCTTTTCTTTCCTGTTTCCGTTCCCCTTCCTTCTCCTTTCTGCTGCATGTTTCCTTCTTAGCCATTTTGCCCTTTCCCTTGTTCCTCTTCCTTGTCCTTTTCTTGTTTGCCTTTTTCAACCATTTCTTTTTGCCGTTTGCAGCGTGCAAAGGCTGGGCACGTACGCTGTTTGCAGATCTACGCAGGCATACACACACTCACAGCCTGACAGTTAGAATGCCAGTCTTGATCCCCAAAATTGCAACAAGGAAGGGAGGGAGGAGAAACAATGACAGGGCAATGAAACATCCGATCCTTTTCATTGTTGCGCACTTGCCTTTCCTCTTCCTTTTTCTTTTCTTTTCCTTTTTCCTCTTTCCTTTTCCTGTCTCATTGTTCTTTTTCCTTTCCACTGTATTCTGCGTCCTGTCCTATTTTCGTTTTCTGTTTCCTTTCTCCTTCCTTCTGCTTTTTGCTGCCACGTCCCGGTCTTAGCCATTGTTTTTTTCCTTGTTCCTCTTCCTTGTCCTCTCGTTTTGCACTTTTCCGTTTCCTGTCCTATTCCTTGTGCCTTTATCCTTTTCCTTGTCCTGTTCCTTTCCCTTTTCTGTTCTGTTTCCTCTCCTGTGTCTTTTCCTTTCTGCTTCCACGCCTTGTTCTTTACCATTTGTTTCCTGTTCGTTTTTCCTTTTGCTTGTGTGTTTGTTTTTTCTGTAAAAGCTGTGGCGTTCAAAGTGTGTTCTTTTCTTTTGTTATCTTTGGCTGCTTTCCATCTTCTAAGAAATCCTTGTATTTACAGGCTACCGCCTGCAGCCGCCGACCCCAAGGGAAAATGTAGTGGCAGGGTTGGGCCCCGGGATGGGCTGTTGATTTAGCCTTAGCCAAAAGCCTTAGCCTTGGCCTTAGTCTTAGCCCAGAAAATTGCTAACCCATTTTCTTCCATTGTTGTACTCATGCCTTTCATGCGCTGGACAATGTCCGGCCAGTGCCCGTGGTATGGCCAGCAAAGACATTCAGACATACAGAGAGGAGGGTGTGTGACGAATGCCATGCCAAAGAGCCGCTCTTTCGCTGCACCCACGACAATTCCAACAGAAAATGTGCCAAAATCTAGGAAAAATCAAGGGTATAGGCATGAGTACAACAATGGAATAAAATAGGTTAGCAATAGGTTAACAATTTTTTGGGGAAATCTGGGAACCCAAAAACAAGAGGAAATGCTAGAAAATCCTTGGAAAAGCATCCAGCCGAAAACGTAACAAAATCTAGACAAAGCCTAGAGCATTCCTAGGAAAATGCTGGAAAAGCCTTTGAAAATCCCACAAATCCAACAGAAAACGTGACAAAATCTAGAAAAATCAAGGGTATTGGCGGGGATCACGCCGCGACCACCCCGGGATTCGAGCCCGGGACCATTTTAGACCGTGCTTATTTTACCGCGCGGGTGGAGAGGGTGCCCCAAGATGAATAGGTTGGCACATAGTGCCACCCATCTTTGTTTACAACTGACCGCAGAGTGAGCAATGATGTGAACGGCCATATTGGCTCCACCAGAGATGGGTAGGGTGGGTAAGGTGAGATGATTCACCACATGTTCATGTTACGATGAAGAGGGGTTATGATTTGTTAGGTTCTTCTGGTGCAGCCCCTTCTTCATCCAGAAATGTTGATGTTGAAGCCGCATTGACGGCTGCCACTGCCATGGGATCCCATGTCGGACGCTTGCCTATGCCCTGGGAATCTACTCCATTAATGAGATCAATATTCCAGAAGGACAAGATGCCATGGCTTGCCGCTCCCAAAATTCCTCGCACTTTCCCGGCTGTATCATCAAGTGGTGCAAGTGAGCGCATTATTTCTGATCATGAGCACAAGTTACGCATTAGGGACTTGAGTCACGAAGTTGCCGGGTCCAGCAGGGACATGGACAGAGACCGAGTCCTTTTGAAGTGGCTTGAGGTAATTTTGATCCAACCTAGTGAGTCCAGAGTGGGTAAGCAGCTGATGGAAGTAAAAGTTGACGACGGTGATTGTGGTCGACATCTTCAGATCGTCGCTGACACTCTGATGAAAAAAGCCACAAGAACTTTGAATCTACGTGTGGCGTCATTGCTGCTTTACATCCGTTGGCTTAGGAAGCATTCACTGTCAGAACAGTTTCTGCCGTTTTACGAGCCGACTGTCTATGACTACATGTGCGACCTTAGGGATACTGCTTGTTCCGCTACACGTGGAACGACGTTCATCTCGACGCTTGCATTTGTTCAAGAACTTTTGGGAATGACGGGAACAGCCTCATGTTTGGAATCGGCCAGAGTGTCAGGTGCTGCTCTGCAAATGTATCTGACCAAGAGGCCTCTCAAACAGGCGCCTCCGTTGGAACCGATAATGCTGGCTTTGTTAGAAACGATGAGCTTTTGTCTGTACGACCCATATCTCAGATGTATGGCTGGATTCTGCTTGATGTGCATCTATGGGCGACTACGTGTTTCGGATATGCATCGGATTGTCAATTTGTCAGTCCGTGGAGCATTCGTCGAGGGAAACTTAATGCGTGTCAAGACTGCGAGGGCAAAAGAAAAACAATCCACCTTTTTGCCGTGTGTTGTGCCTTGTGATGGTATGCTTGGCTTGGATTGGTTCCATGCATTCACATACAACAGAAAGTCTCTCGGGCTGAAAGACTTCCCGTCTGCTGAATCACGATGCGACGACAAGTCTTTTGTGGTGATGCCATCTGAAGCCACCTGTGGTCTGGAAGTGCAAACGAGAGTTGCTACCTCAGAAGTCACTGCCAAGCTGCGCCTTATGCTTGGCAAATTCTTACCGGCTGCGAATTTCAACAAGATCACAAGCCACAGTTTGAAGACTACTGTGCTGACTTACCTGGGAACCTATGGTGTGGACTGTACACATACTGAATTGTTGGGTTACCATTTGACTCAACACAGAAGCGCCATCAACTATCAAAGAAGCGCCTTGTCCGCTCCGCTGCGAACCATGTGCAAAGTGCTTAGCGAAACTCAATGAGGTGAGTTTCTCCCAATGGCCGCACGTGATGAGGTTTTTGCAAAACCGCAATCCATTAAGCCAGTGGTTGAACAGATGCTGATAGCGATGGACTCTGAGCTCCAACCTTTGGCTGAGAAGATGTTGGAATTTCCTGCAGCGGATCTCTATCAAAAACTTCCTTTTACCCTGATTTGAAGTACTTGTGGGAACGCCTGGACACAAGTAACATGGGTTCCTATGCAGATGCTGAAGAAGCCGGGTCACCGGTAGACCTGATAAATGTTGGTGAGGATGAAGAGGCCGTTTCGAGTACGGCCCACGATGCTGCTCCGAGCCTGGACGAAGAAAGTAGCAAGAGTAAATCTATCTCCGATTGTGATTCAAACTGCTCAGACTCGTGCTCCTCATCTGCAGAGAGTGCCATGGCAGCTATTGCGAGAGACTCAGATTTTGCAACCTACAGGCCAATGGCAAAGAATGCTGTGACGGAGATGATGTACAGACATGTGCGTACTCACGTGATCCATTACGGCCACGACAGTCTGGACTTCAAGACGGCGTGTGGTCGAGCACTGGGGCCCACTTTTGCCAGATTTTATGGTGATGTAGAGAAGTCCTGGCCTCATTGTAAACACTGCTTTGGCAGTATGTGACCTCGGGGGCGGTTGGCAAACTTGCAGGAAAAATAATGTTTGAGGCGGTTAGCCGGATGATGTATGAACAACCTCCTCATGTGCCGTTCAGATGTTGATGTCTGAGTGAGATTCAGGGCCACTGAACACCTCTGCTTTATTACGGTGTGTGGAATTCTCGCTGCTGTAGGCTGCACCACTGCCGCGGATGTCGCGAGCAAGAGCCGATGTGGCCGAGGAGCAACTGGTGAGAGTTGATAGGCGGTTGTTCACATGTTGATGTCCTGCGTGCCAACTTATCATGATCCAGTGGATTTAGATTTTTTTGTTCCGTTTTGCTTTCGCTTTACTGTGTTGCATTCCCCTAAGTAACCGCTGTGATGTTCATGCACTGATCAAGGTATAAGGTCCAAGGTTCTTTTTCAACTCATGTCTTTCCATGTCTTGTGCATTTATGTTTGTCATTTGCTGCATCACTGAGATTTGGCCCAGTGCAAGCAGAAGCTACTTGCGCCGAATTGTGAACATGCTGGACTCTTCAGCCGACTTCCTTGATCGGGCTCGCAAGCTAGGGGCTAATGATGAAGAGCTTCGCAACCTGCAGGCCCTAGGGTACGATACCTTCGGTAAGCTGGCCTTTGCTACCAGCTACACCCCAGGACAGCAGGATGAGACAGCTCTGAAGCAGTTGGCGGCAGAGATCACGGGCTCAGACCCTCCATTAGCTGCGAGGTTGCCAATTGTCCGGCGACTATTCTTCGAATCTTATACATTGGCGGCTGCTGACATGCAAATGAGAGTTGAGCGCAAAGATGACAGTGCACCCAGAAAGCTGGCTAATGCCGAGCGTTCAGCCAGGTACGATGACCAACGGAAGTGCTTGAGTGGCATTGACATGACTGGGGAGCTGGAACCGAGCAACGCTCTCATAGACCTCGTCTACAACATGGCCGAGGAGGATCAGTTGAAATATGTGCGCTGGGAAGAGTGTACCAAGCGTGACCAGGAGTTAATGGGCATCAAGGTGGATCCAGTGTGGAAGCCAGATAGCTCAGGGCTTATCCGTGAGACCAAGGTGTCTGAAGCTTTGAAAGCAGACACCAACACTGACCTGAAATTGAGGCTGGCGCTCCAGAGGAGGTCCTTGTCTTTTGACCAGGCACGATTGGTGGACTACAATGTCTTTGAAAAGTGGACGCACACTATCATGGATGCATTCTGCTCACCCCCCTCCGGAAGGCCATCTCCGTGTCACGGTTGAGCAGTTGCATCGTGCAGATTTGCAACTCTTCAAAGTCATGATGCGCGAGACCAGAAGCGGCATCAAGCCAATCAGTGGAACAAAGCCGTGGAGGTAGCTCTTCTGAAAGCCATGGATGCTGCAGAGGTGCGATTGCTACTTCAACCTCTTCAAGGTGGAGTCAAGCGCAAGGCAGATGCGCTAGAGGAGGATCCCAAGAAGTCAAAATCCTCCGCATCTTCAGGTGAGTATGCAAAGCTGCAGCAGACAATTGCCAATCTCCAAGGCCAAGTGAAGAACTTGCGTGCCAATTCGAGCCACAATCCAACCAAAGGTCGCAAAGGTCGTGGCAAAGGTGCAAAGACCAATTTGATCCGCATGCCACCTCAGCTGATTGGTATGGCCCCCACCAATGCGCAAGGTGAACCCAACTGCTATGACTTCAACCTCAAAGGATGCAGCAAAGCCAAGCCAGGTGAACGATGCCCCAAAGGCTGGCACTGCTGTATGAGATGGGGGTGTGGCAAGCCACACCCCCAATTTGAGCATCAGTGAAATGAATGCGAGGCCCCTTCTGACCAGCGGGGGGCCCAACGCAATTCAGACGAGCTGCATGGATGTCCGAGCCATCGGGTACTATGTGTGGAACTTTGTGCTGGGTGTGCTCGGCTTTCCAAGCATCTCCACAAAGCTGGTTTTGGTGTTCTTGCAGTTGATCATTCCAAGAATCGTCATAAACAAGAGCACTCCACTGTTCAACTAGATCTGGCACAGCCAGGATGCGTTGAACAATTCAAGTCTTTGGTGGCTTCTCATGCCACCGTTCTTTATGCACATGCGGCGCCGCCGTGTGGAACATGTTCGAGAGCCCGCGGGAAACGTGTTCCAAGACGTCTTCGAAAGAAAGGCGTCCCAGCCCCAAAGCCTTTGAGGTCAACTAAGCATCCAGATGGGCGTCCCAACCTGCATGGTATCAACAAGGAACGTGTACAACTTGCCAACAGTGTTTATGATAACATTTGCAAAATTCTAGCTATGCTGCCTGCATCTTGCATCATTTCCGTGGAGAATCCTACACGCTCACACATGTGGGCCACCTCGTGGTTTCGCAAGCTGATCAAAAAGAGATGCCTTTTTCCCATTACATTTCAAGCCTGTATGCATGGGTCGCTCCGGGACAAATGGACAACATTTTACACTAACTGCAGCGCTTTCAGTCCTCTTGCTCTCACCTGTGATGGTGGCCATACCCATTTGCCATGGGGTGTGGATCGCAAAACTGATGGTTGGCGCTTCAACACTGCAGAAGAGGCTGAATACCCTGAGGAACTGTGCTCCAAAGTCGCTGCTATCATTAAAGAACACGCACGGCAACACAACATTGTCCTTGTCCAACAGCCTCCCAACAAGAAGTACAAGCTAGATCCCCCCGCAAACCAACTGCGAGCGGCGCAAAGTGGCCGGCAACCGCGTGGGAACTTGCTGCCGCAAATCATTTCTGAATTTTCGCACATTCGTTTGTTGAAGTGGCCCTTACAATGGCCACGCCAAGCACCACGCATGCTGACCGAACAGGAGATGCAACATTTTCAATTGCCATTTGCTGCCAAACTGCTGTCCTTTAAGATGGGAGAGACGGGGACAGATGATGAATGCATTGCTGAAATTGGTATATATCGCACGCCTGATCAATTCACAGAAGAAGCTCTTCGACTTCAACACCCTTTTGACGACTGCAGCTCGGTCCAGGATGATGTAAAAAGGGCTATTTTCTGGCTTCTCACGGATGGGCCTAAGGTAGTTGCTGAACAAAGAAAACTTATACTGGACAATTACGAACGTCTTAGTATGGAACTTGAGGGCGAGGAGAAAACGTTACATGACCAATTGGATCCTGCACGTGAGTTCATCATTCGTGACAAGAAGATCCTGCTCTTCAAACGAATGTGTACTGATGCCGGGGTTGATGATGACGGCCTGGCGGACATAATGCTCAATGGAATCAAACTAACTGGTGCAGGTGAGCCTACAGGTCAGTTTGAGCCAGACATCAAAGAGCCTTCGATTAGCAATGTGCAACTAATGAAGTCTTCGACATGGACCCGCAAGAAGATCCTTGCAAAATCCACATGTGGAGTTGAAGAACGTGTGCTCAAGACTGTTTGGGAAAACACTTGTGCCGAAGCTGAACGTGGCTGGTTGTCTGGACCTTATGAGGAGGAAGAACTTGTACAACGCCTGGGCCCATGTTTGTAGTATCGAGGAGATTTGGCCTCGAACAATCTGACAAGATAAGATCCATCGATGATATGTCAGAGAGTCTTGTGAACTCGGCGTACGGAAGTTCTTACAAACTGGACCTTCCAGGTATTGATGGTATTTCCACAACTGCTCGTTCCTGGTTGGAGGCCGTGAATGATGACAGGCGAGTCCACTTCAAATTGAGCAATGGTAAGCGCCTGAAAGGCGTTCTGCACAAATCACTTGATGTTGAAGCCGCTAAGACTCTCTGCGGCAGGACGCTTGATTTGGATGCGGCGTACAAACAAATCTTAACTGCAAAATCCTCCTTGTGGTGCTCTGCCTTAGCTGTTGATGACCCTTCTGGAAGAAAACGTATGTTTGTGTCCAATGTTCTTCCCTTCGGTGCTTCTGCAAGTGTATACGGTTTTAATCGTATTGCCAGGGCTTGTCATACAATCGGACTACGGCTTCTGGGTTTAGTCTGGAGCAACTATTATGATGATTTTCCGCAAATTGATTTGGCTGCCTCTGAACATGATTCGCAAGTCACTGCTGAGCGCCTCTTTGAGCTCATTGGCTGGAAAATCTCACGGAAAGAATCAAAGCGCATGCCGATGTCGAGACAGTTCGATGCTTTGGGAGTCACTTTCGATTTTTCTAATTCTACCGCTGGAATTGTAGAGGTGCGAAACAAAGCTTCCCGAGTCGATCAGCTTTGCAGTGATTTGGAGAGGGTGTGCAAAACTGAGTCATTATCAGTGTCGCAAGCTACCTCTATTCGTGGAAAGCTTCAGTTTGCTGAAACGCACACTTTTGGAAGAGCTTTGGCCTCGCATGTGAAACTCTTTAACTTGAGAGCAAGTGGCAAACTTTCGGGTAGTGATGTATCAGATGAACTGCGAGATGAAATTTTGTGGATAATTGAATTTCTACGCCACTCAATGCCTCGTAGACTCACTGCCGGCATGTCGCAACGCAGACTTTACATTTTTACCGATGCTGCTCTTGAAAATTATGACACTTGTGGCAGTGTGGGCATGGTGGCCTACTTTGTGGATCATGATGTGATCGTGCGGAGGTTTTTCTTTTCTGGTATCGTCCCTTCTGGAATCATGAATCAGTGGCAGAACGAAACCGCGAAGGTCATTTCCACTTTGGAACTTTTTGCGGCAGTGTATGCTGTACAGCTTTTAAGTGATTTGTTTGAATTTGTCCGTGTCATGTTGTTCATTGATAATGAAGCTGCTAGGGCTTCTCTCATTTCTTTGAAAACCAGTGTTGAGAGGCACCGCATAATGCTCAGGAGTCTTAGTCGACGCACCCAACTCAAAGGCTTGTATATATGGACGGCGCGAGTGCCCTCTGTCAGCAACTGTTCCGATGAGCTCTCTCGACTTAAGACTTGCCGGCTCCTTGAAGAAGGATACGACAGGTTGGAAATCGATTGGCATGTAGCCAAGCATGTTGCGTTTGAGAGCAAATGTCGATGTGCATCTCTGGTTCTCTTGCGGTCAGGTCGTGCGAGCCTAAGAAGGGGTCAGCCAG